CTTTCTAAACAGTGTTAATTAGGGGTGGGATTGGATTTCTGTAGAGAGTCAAAACTTTTATGTCTGGGAAACTTAGCTTATTGCACAGAAAAGGATGCAGAATAGTTTTGACAGTGTGACCGCTGACAAGTTTTGAGCTCTTAAAAATAGTCCGGTTTAGTGGAAATGTGTATGTTTTCTTTTCATAGCAGGGGAATTTGAGTGCACAAAGAGGACTAATTGTGTCAGTAATTTTGTGGTTTGTTAGTCTTTCCACATGAAGCTGACTCATCTCTTTGCACTCCTCAGTAGATCTGTTAAACCTAGATAAGAAGAAAGGTGACACCAGCCGAAGACGGAGTTTTACTTCCTGTAATCTAAAACAGGCTCTGTGACTTTAGAGTTAGCAGACTTGCACAATTTACTGACTATAAACAGGCACCAAGACTGTAAGTCTGTGGCAGATATTACTCCATTATAAAGCTTTACAACGAATTATGGATAATCATTCTTTACTAGCTGTGATGAAACCTGATACATAATGCATTTAATTTAGCATGTGTGTTGTAGTTCAAACGCTTGCTCATGGTGGGAACTGTTGGGTCTCTAAATCATTTTATAAAGGAGTACGATCTAGACTAGTGTCCTGAGACAACTGTTGTTATTTGGCGCTATTACAAATAAAATTCAATTGAATTGAAATTGCAGCTGAAAACAGTAAATTTACTGGCTCACAAGTCTGGTAGCCTTCTAATAATCTGATACGTAAAAAGTGAATTTTCTAGGACGTTTGGCTGGTAACCAGGGAGGTAGTGACTCTGGTGGAAGAGCTCATGATGCATGTTGGGAAAAGTCACTTTGTCATCATATAAATTGTTCATTCTGTTAATAAAATCAGGTACTGTGTGATGCAATAAAGACAAAAGATATTTATGTTTATTTTATTTTTATTTAAAACTCAAGGCTCCTTGATTTAGGATCAAATTTAAATTCCGGTCCAATACTACGTAATGTATTACCCCCTGAAACAGGACCCTGTTATGTCCGAGCAGTGCCCCATTTGCCATTTTTTTCCCTAGATAAGAGAAGTAATGACCCGTCCTACTCTGACAAAGGCTTTAACCTGAGCCAGACCATACAACAATGACAGCAATCATACAGGCACAGTAGTATACGCTCGTTAAAAAAAAGGATCAACCAAAGTTCAGGTACCAGAATTTATATCTGGAAGGAAAAAATGGTACCGTAACATCTCACAATACTCAAAGTTTATACCTTCACCCATCACTGTGAGGCACAACCCTCAATATCTTTGAGAATCTTTGAAGAAGAGCTTCAGCAGAGTCTCTCGTCTGAATAAGACTAAAAGATATACCTTTCATGGTGGTTGTCAATGTGACTGACTGCTTGTTTTTTGGTCTTGGATGCCCGGAGGCTGTGACCCCCTCTCGATCCATATACAAGAGCAACAGCCAGGTGAAGAGGAGGAGAAGGCTTACTGCAACCACGACGTCTCTTTAATACGACACAGTTGATCCTCTCTGTCTCCATCCACCACCTCCACCTCCCTGTGTAAAGTGTACATGTGATCCACGCCTGCCACTGTAAGAAACGCTGATGAAATGTTGGACTGTTTCAGTATAACTGTGGATTGTTGTGTGTCTGCTGAGCTGTAGCCCTGCTGCCAAGTGACTGAGTGTCAGATGGTAAACTGATTGTGTAACTGAAATGGAAAGAGGTTGTTTGAGTTCTTGCTCTCCACTGACACCCTCTTATCCACATCACCATTCTGACTTTAAGCAGAGATCCACAGTTAATGCCCCACGAGATAAAGAGTATTTACTGATAAGATGCTTTCTTCACTATTCTTACATGTACAGGCTTTGTCGGGTGTTCAGTGTTGCCAGACTGTGACTATTTATTTGACTGGGCAGTTAAACGTATGTTGGGTAGCGTATGATCATTTGGGTAACTTTTCGGCCGTATTAGCATTATGGCTCTTGGGATGGAAATGTCTGACTGTTGACTGTTACTTTTACTGAAATGTCCTGACAACTATTGAAGGGATTCATCGCCATGAAAAGGTTTTGCAGATATTCATGTTTTTAAGAGGATTAATCCTCCTGACTTTGGTGATCCCCTGAAAATTTCAATTCCATTTTGGTTAAATACTTGAGTTCTGCAGGTATTTATTCATAAACCTCAAATCATAATGACATTCCCACCAGCCTCAGCTGTTTATTGCTCATTAGCAAATGTTAGCATGCCTCCACACAACACAACAAACATGGTAAACACTACACTTGCTTAGCAACAGCGTGTTGGCATTGTTATTGTGAGCATAGTGACAATAGGATTTACCTCGAAGCATTGCTCACACACAGCGTCACAGAGCCACAAAGACGGCTGTAGACATTTAATCTTGTGGTAATATTTAGGTGGTTTCTTTGATTAAAAGCTTTATGCTACATTCCCATGAATATACCGCTCCCACCTCTAGTTAGAATATATCCAGATTGTCAGGGACACTGGGACTATGCAGTCAGAAAACCAGATTGACAGACAGAGTTCAGTAGGCTCAACACACCGACAGAATAAGTCCTTTTAGGTCGATCCACTGTGTACAGCACTTAAACCAATCAAACAATCTCTGGTCCAAACAGAGCAGCTGGTTGTCCAGTCACAGTCACTTCAGGATGATTTGTTGAGTTGGTGGGAACATGTGGGAACTCCTGTCACTCCAGACACACTGTTGGTGTAAACACTGTGAGCAGATGTTGATAGAATATGTTCTGACACACATATGCATTGAGCTACAGCAGATGAATCGTCACGTCATACAAAGAAACAGGCACGCTCTTCTTCTTGACTCTCGTCAATGAACTGAGCACAGCGGTTACAGCTGATACGACACAACGTTCAGCTTCATCCCTCAGTTGTTGACCCAGTGTCACACTACAAAGATGGCGACAGCTAACGGCAATAAATGACTCATCCCATACAGCTTGTTAGTGAACTAGCTCAGGGAGGAACATTCAGCAGCGGTGTCCGGGGAAGTAAGGACGAGTTAATTCAATAGATAACGGCGCCAAGCGAGGCTAATTCAATCAGACTGTGTGAGCAGCGTAGGGGAGCCTAGGGCTGGACGAAGAAGGACAAGACAGAACGTGGGTTAAAGTGCAGTTTTGTGTGTGTGCGTGTGTCCTCCACTGTGAGGACAATGCCTGGAGTTCTCCTACGGAGTGATAATGAGCGC